GTACCAGAGCCTACAACAAGACCTATTGCACCTCAACATCTACAGACACCATGTGTAGTACATTTAGAGACACCATCCACGTCAAGTCCCTCGCATACCTCAACACATATTACACCCCATCCACCACCATTGACCAAGACCTCCACACCATCTGAGTATATTGCATGACATGTTTACCCCATGGCTGGACCAGACACATACACATCAGGTGCTTCAGGAGTTACATTGCCCACCCAACCTATCTATCACGAGGCATTGATGACTTTATCTCCATCAGATGATGTCACGTAAGGTCTTGGTACAAGAATGGCTACGACTCCCGCAGTTGTACATAGGTCACATCAACGTGCTACGACTCTACTTGCCCATCTTATTTCACTAGTTCGTGGTCGAGGTGGCAGATTTTGAGGTGTTAGAAGCCACGATGGTAGAGGATGGAGTGGTCAAGGTAAAGGCAGAGATAGTATTCCAGTCGGAGATCTAGTGTCATAGGTGATCGATGGCGATCCGTCATAATTAGAGGAATGTCGTCTGGAATAGCTCAGGAAGAAGCCATCTTGTGGCACTTAGTGTTATCATATTTTATCATTTTTGAAAATTTATTTTCACATTTATGTTATAGAGTAGTTTCTATGTATTGTTGTTGGTTGTGTGGTGAAGTGTTTGTGGATGTGAGGTGAGGTGTTTGTGGTGCTGTGGTTGGCTGTTGGTGGTGGTGTTTGTGTTGGTTTTGTTGTTGTTTTAATATTGTGCATACATGACAAATTTATTTTCGTATGACAGAAATTTAAGAGAAACTTTGCCGAAATTTTTTAAAATACAACATGTTTAAAGTCAATATTTACAATACATACTTAATTCCAACCTGTAGTTTCGATTATTGTCAAATGTACATGTATTTTCTATATATTGTATGCATTGTTATGTTTAGCGTTGTTCTGCACTTCAATGGGTTTGATAACATAAGAAAACAAATAGTACATTATATTTTAGCACTGCACAATGAAAGTACAGATAAACTACAACAACACATTAGTACAAACATATAAGCTAGATTATGACAAACGACACACATTATTCCAACCCTAGAGGATAAACCAACATATGCGTAAATTGTTATTGATCAAGGAATCTTCATCATGGGAAACTTTTTTCGTTTGACATTTCAACGTCAAAAACACATCCTGTTTCTATAGACAGCTCTAAGCACAAACGTGTTTTGTCAGCAAAACCTTCTGCAGCACAGTTGCCTACAATTCGGCAGAGGTTGTATTGAGTTTGTCGTATTGCCATACAATTGTTTTCACCTTGAATACGCCACAATGCACCTTCCAACTATTGTGGTGTGTTAATAGGCATATTAATGACAATTTGTTGTGGTCTGCGTATGTTGCAAATGCGTAAATCTTCACTTAGAACTTCTCTCTCATTCAAACGATATTGTCATTCCTTCCTCATTCTATTCACTAGCCTCTATGAGAAATATAAAATATGATTTAGAGGATAGAAGAATTCATCCTCTAACGCCCAACGATAACTCATACTTTCAAACACAGTGCGTGGACTATAACTAATGTTAGTAGTTGGTAAGAGGGCAACACACACAATGAATTTATAGTGATATTATGATGGTAGTTGTGGTCACTGTTTTGCCAACTGTGGATAATTTTTTTTTAATTTGATGATTTGATTAAATGTGCAACACTTTTGATTTGTCTCATCATTGAATGATGCATATCACTATCAGTGTTAAGTCGTCAATAATGATTTAACACAACACTGTTAGTACGTTGGTATCAGTGTTATGTCATCAGTGTCTAGTCGATATCATTGTTCACTCTTCACTGTATGTTTACTACAATATGTTACTACTCAGTTCAATGCCTCTAATATTAAAATAAGTTACGTTTCTATTTATATATAGATATTTAACTGCAGTGTAAACTCTACATACACTATAATGTTAACAACATTAACAATTGGGTCTTCAAGCCAAACCAACGATGACTCATTCCCAACCAACCACTGGCATCATGAAACATTTTCTTCATTCAATTCACTAGAACCTGGTAATTACATAGATCCCAATGGAGTGACATGATATGGAAAATTGCGTTTCTTTAAAAATGAATCAATCAACATTCATAATCCTTTCACCGAAATCGTCCATGTGATGATTGGACCTGCAACCTTTGTTCTACCTCTAGAGTTTTATTATCACCTATCGGGACCAAGTTGATTGAAATCTTATTTCAAGCATTGTGAGTTTGAAGTATATTGTCATTGGCATGGATTACGAGTGTCACGGGCACGTTCAGTTGAAATGTATATGAAATGGTGCACGGATACCTATCATGATATCATTGCAACACTGACTCTTGAGAATGATCAAATGGAACAACAACTAAATCGATTCCATCTTATTAGTAAGACAAAGATTGAACATTTAGACTCTATAAAGCCTATTAATGCAATACTATCCGATCCATCATTGGCTTTTGACGATGAACTTTCTAATTTTGAAAAATCAAGTGATGATGATCATTATGAAAAATTTCTCTCTACTATTCTTTACTTACATGGGACACCATTATGCTATTGGAAATATGATCGTCATTAGAAATATCATGACTAATATGTCGTTTAAAATAAAATCTTATAGTTCTATTTCAGCAAAAGACATAAAGCCTCTTCATTTTGAATGCTTTTTTGTAATGTTTTATCACAAAAGAAATAAAATCTCTTTCCCCAAGGTTTAGGGTTTGTTGCTTGGGTTGGGGGGGGACGTTTGGTATTCTCTTTGGATAATAGTAATTTCAGCGGGCAGAGTTTTTTAATGTTTAGGATTTAAGGTTTTGTTTGAGTAGGGTGAGATGGGTGCAATGAGTACTCTTTTTTGGAAATTAAAAGGGTGAATTAATAGTTTTATTATTTATTGTTTAATAGAGTGAGAATGAAATTTTCATTTGTAAGAGTAAAAATAGTCTTTGAAAGCGGATGTGTTGAATCCGCTCTCAGTATAAGTCGGATTTGACAAAAGCAATTTCATTAGAAAGCGTATTTCACAAGTCCGCTTTCTAATGAAAGCGTTTTTGTTAAATCTGACTTATACTGAAAGCCGATTCAACACATTTGATTTCATTGGAGGATTAAATTATATATTGTGCATTGAAAAGCAGAATTGTTGAACATATTTTTGTGTAAAAAACGGATGTGATGATTACGCTTTTATTAAAAGCGGAGTCAACAAATTCGATTCACAAGATGAAAGCGTATTTCTTGATTTCGCTTTTAGATGAAATCGAATTTATTGATTCCACTTTCAGATGAAATTGGATTTATTGATTCTACTTTTAAAAACTGTTATAGATTGATAAATAAGTTCAAAACAGCTGTATTTTAATAATAAAATTTTAAAACAGTCGTATTTTAGTAATCGATTCTATTTTCAATCCTATGAGGTTGGAGGAGGACCCACATTGCCTTTTAAGAAAGAACAATACACAGACACAGTCCCATGTAGGGTAGGGTCAAGGAAGTCAAGATCTTCCTCTCTCAACATGTGGTTCAGGTACAACAAGTTTGCACAAGCATTAGCCACCACTCATATAAGCACATAAATCCATATCCAGAGTTTCAAAAAGTCTTTTTCTTCCCCATCCCAATTGACAAAGTAACATGGTCCATGGTCCCACCCAGCTTTATTGATTTAAGATAAGATAACATTTGGATTCTGCATAGAGACACCTGTTTGCTCCCCACCCAATAAACAACCAACCCACCTATCCTCAATTCATCCCCACTTCCTGGTTAGACTAATTAGAATGTGGTTCAACTGAACCTAAATCCAATGGCTCAATATAATTTCTTCTAACTATAACGGTTAGGCCAAAAAAATATACCTAAACCCACCTCTGATCTTGTGTATTAGAGATACGATAGGTTCAAAACAGATCCCAACAATATCCACAAAATCCGGACAAGAAGACGATAGGCAAGAGTGATACTTTATTTTAATCAAACGTATTTCTCACTTTATAAATAAATTGTAGTTCTATATGTAACAACTATTAATAACACATCACGTATATTTAATTGGCCATTTAGTCCGTGTATGTAGTCATGACATTGTGCGGAACCACGTATATTCTCTTTCCTACCTCAATCCCCATGACATTATAGAATTCCTATATGTAGACCCCACTGTTCACCAAATATCTCAAACACAGCCATGAACCCATAAGTTCAATTTGGACATTAGGATGAAGCATAAACCAAATGCACTACCAGCTTCATTATGGAGGATTCATACCTGTGAATCAGGTGTCTTGAGGCAACCACCAATTTCAGAAAAAAAAAACTTCAGACTGCACAATACAGAAGGCGGAATACACAGAGAACTAATACAAGTAGGTCCTTTAACAGGCTTAGAATTATACCTCCATGCCTATCCTCCATTCTCAACTCAAATCAGCCAAGCTTTAGACCGAACAATTTGAAGTCAGTTACATGGTTGACACTCGGTTTATTAAAAAGATTATGCAGGCAAATGGAATCCTCGACTATTTCTATTTAGACAGCTTAATGATACAGTTAAGATGTTTCAGTAAGCTCTTCTGTTCCACCAATTTACCATCATGCCAGAATCTCTATCCTCAGCTTGACTACTCGTCGTCACCTTGGAAATCCCGGTAGTTTGTGACATTTTGGCCATCCTCTTATGCACCCAAATTCAACGATTGAGTTGTGTAGATACATTAAATCTAACCTGAACCCACAGCTTGATAGGCCCGTCAAACTTGTTAAGTTTCCTTTAAATTACCACATCTTGACATAAGCATTTCGGTTTGCTTATTTTACCATTTTTTATGTTTCATGTATAAATAAAATTGCGTGGATACAAGTAGCAAAGGCGATACACCACAATCATACATTTATGTGTGTATAAATTCTACAAGCAGCCTCGGATCAGATCAAATTTTCTTTTTTCATACTAAAAACTCAATCAGTATTTACACTTCAAATTTTACAACTTCACAACAAACTACTCATAACTGAGAAAATTGTAGACATAACAAGTGAGTACAGCAAGAGCTCAAGAAGGCTAGAAATAAATATCTATGTGGTGAACCATTCCAAAAATGTGAAGGGAACTACCGAAGCACAAGTCAATTTACGAACCAGCATTGCTCATCCTTCCACCGAATGAAAGCACTGGCTGCCAGAAAAGTTTCTTATCCGCGGACGGGTAATTAAGGACTGCCTTCCTTTTTCTTACTCTTTCCTCCACATTCAAACTTTGCATTCTCAGATTTCCTTTCACTCAAGCATGAGTTTAATGGGTCATCAGAATTTGCCCTAAAGAAGAAAGAGAAATCTTCATTGATAGGGGGAGAGAGATCATTATATTTGCTCCCCTCTCGAGAAGTGCTCAAACCAACCTCGAGGGGCAACCTTTTGCACTGAACCACAGAAGGGCCCAATCGCAATGATAAATCACAGGCAATCCCAGGTGGGTCACTTCCAAAATTTACTTGAGTAATTCTGTTTGAGGCATCTGCATTGTGAGAGGAAACCATTTGTGCCACCTTCGTCTCACTAGGCCCTATGGAGCAAGAATTCGGTTTAGAAGGATTACAAGAACCAAGCTCAGACTGTTTAGATTGCAATTGATCTTCACAATGTAAGGGATAGACTGAACATGTGTTCAGTGAAGGGTTAATTTTCTTAGGTAAACATAGAATATCACTCCTGGGAAGAAACTTTTCAGGTAATGAAGGAAATTTTTCAACAGGTACAATATTGCTTTGGACAATAGGGCTTAGACAAACTGACCCAATGTTATTGGAATTCATTATAGTGGGCTTCATGAACCTTGAATACTCAGATATGATTTGGGCATTGTTTGTACAATTTCCTTGAGCTGTTTTTTCGAAATCAGTTGTGGGAACAGAGGTAGTTTTTTGAATGCTAGCACTAAGATAACCGCTGGGAGTATTGTTCCTCTGGCTCCTTGATGCCCATCTTGGAGTGCAGCCTAAGTGTAGAGCAGCTGAGCAAATTGGAAAATGAAAATTGCACATTGATTATCACCAATCCAAACAAATACAGTATATAACAAAAATTATCTTTCAAGTCTAAAATGGACAACATAACTATATGAATATAGGGAAAAAAAAAGGGCAACAAATTCTACAAGGCTCATGACATTTTGAGGTCCTGGAAAGGTAACAGGGAGATTCGATTTATGTGACCCAAACTCGTAATGCTCTGATCACTGATCACAATAGAACAAATTTACCTTTGCACCATGACCAAACATAAGATACATGAACATATATGATGAAAAAGAAGACATATATAAATTCATGTCTCCCAAATGACAAATATCGACTAGCAGACACCCATTTGGATTCCAAAATCAAGCTTTACAAGAGTAAATAAATTTGGATGGGTACCTTCAATACAAGGCAGCAAAAGTTTTCCGGATTCAGTACTGTCATCTAGTCGAATTATGGTGTTAATGGCGTCATTAGCTCTGTCCCGAAGAGTTGTAAGATCCATATACTCGGCCTAAGCCAGGAGATACAAGTAACACATGACCAAAAACCCAAATTTTGAGATATGAAAAAAAAAAAAAAAAATCTGAGTAAATGCTAAAATTCAGATAATATGAGTGAAAAACAAACCTCAGAATTGGCTTTGGAATACAAAATTTCTTCAGCTTTCAGGACAACAATAGGGATCTTCTCTCGCCATTCCTTGTTCTTTTTAATTACCGAACTATGAATCTCATTCACAACCCTAACCATAAATATCTTATGAATAAGAATCGGACTCACACACACACACACACACACACACACATAAATATATAAGCAATTTTCATTTTAGTAGAAAGGGACAGACTAAGTACCTGAAAATTTCTTTAATGAGGGAGCCTCTCATGGGTTGGTGTCTATCGCTGTGCCAAGCTCTTCTAACACACTCATAGGGTCTTGGGCCAGGTCTAGGCATCTTCAACAACTGAGAAGAGAAAAAGAACAGAGGAGAGAGAGAGAGAGAGCTGTTATTAGGGAGAGCAGCCAAATAGAAATACTTGTGAAGACTTTTACTGATTTATGCTTGGTTTCTTGACTTGTGACTGTTTGGTCTTTACATTGAGTAATGCAGTACAAAATTCAAGTAACAGTGCAGAGAGAGAGAAAGGGGCGGGCGGGGGGGGGGGGGGGGGGGGGGGTCCTGGCCTTTTGCTTACCCTTACTTCTCTGTCATTCACTCAATTATTCAAAGAGTTTGGATGAGTCTGGTGTGTCCCCCACTCATCCACATGCCTGCTTCCCCATGTCCCAGGGGTCTCTCTCTCTCTGTCCCCTGACCATTCATGTAGTAGTGTTAGGGAAGACTGGATGATAGTCACTGTCGGTGGTGTGGAATCCATCAAACCCCAGCCTCATACTGTAAAGATCAGAGACTGTAGCAGAAAGACTCATGGTCTGGGAGCTCCCAACAGTGAACGCAATGCTCACCAACCACCATTGCCATCCTCTAGACTTCACTTCAGAAAAATAAGCCACCCTTAAATTTTTTGAACGAATTTATAAAAATAATTTATCTCCTATAAACTTACTAACAATAACACGGTGCATGAACGATTTGGTTATTTACACCCCTTAAATCTTTTTTTTCATCCCATTTAAGTATTTTATCTCAAACTATTGAGTTCATCTAATTTATATTTATTCAATTAAACTATTAAATATATGTCAGAAAAATGAAAGAAAAATAATAATTGTGGTAAACTTAATAGCTTAAAATAAAATAATTAAATGGAGGTGTGAAAATGACACTATTACATGTATAAATAGGACACTATTATCTTATGAAAGAGAGACGGTTATCATTTTCCTCATTGTCTACATTGCGAACCACTTAGATAAGCTTGTATTCTCTAAGTATTTTCTATAAATGCTCTAAGCAAGTATCACTTTAATAACCTTTTTCAAGCAATATACAACCCCAAGGAGCAAAAGACTCCTTTACAGTGGACGTAGTCTTAATTCTTTGGCTAAGATGAACCACTTACATAATTTTTTTTATTTTTTCTCGCAATTTCATATATTTTCAACTCATATTTCTATTGTATCCCCTCTCTGAGCCATCTGAAAGTGGTTCCAGACTTGGACTAACCTTTTCTAACACTAGCTATCAAGTATAAAATTCTTCTCAAATTTTTTTTCGCTAGACAATATCTTTTTTTTTCTACACAACTCTCAACAACACACTTCTTAATACCAACACAACCCCGTTAATTCACACATTCCTCTCTCTTCTCTCTCTCACCTCTCTCCTAATTGTTTTCTATTTAATTTAATATTAAATTACTTAATTAAAATATAAATAAATTAATAAATATTTTAAATATAAATATTACATAATTAATATTTAATTTTTTGTATGATAGAATGTGAAAATAATTTGTCTGTTTTCGTAGGACAATGAAGAAAATGATTGTTCCTCTTTTTTGCTGATTTTGTGGGTCTTTCTACTTTAGACCTGTAGTGTGATACCTAGAGAAATTTGAACTTTTTCCGACAAAAAAAAAAATAATAATTTGTCATTATTATGCGAGAGTAAAATGCATATTTCTATAGAGCTAGGATGAAGCAATGAACTTCACCATTAGATTCGCATCACGAAATTGAGTTACCACGTCAAATTTTGTCGGATTTCGAGATAGTTAGATTTTACACATTTTTCAAGATAATTGGGTGACGAATGAACTTTTAAACATCCCTAAAAACAAAAATTATAAAATTTCCTTATAATTGAATAAAAGTTCAAATAAAATTATTTGAATTGAAACCGGAATTTAATTAGGTCGTTTCGGGTTAAAAACGGACCCGGAAGTGATAAACGAGCGGGATAATGTGGACCGCGCAATTCAAAATATAAATAGAGATTAGTATCTGAAAAATCAGATATTTTTCACACCCATTTGACCGACTGCTTCAGGCATTAAAGAGAGAGAAGAGGGAAAAATTCATTTTTCTACCTTTCTTCTACAATCCAAGGTGTTCTGTCGGTCGGAATCGTTTGGATCAAGAACTAAATTTCATCTACGCAGCGAGAGCTATGCATATGTACCAAGAACGAAGAGTTTCACCGAAGATCCGAGAAGAGGATTTTAGAGAAATCAAGATTTTGGGGGTTAGAAGAGTGTCTTGAGGCTTCTACTCTTTCTTATACGCTCAAAGAGGTAGGATTTTTCCTACTTTTGTTCACTTTCTTACCTAGGGTGTATTTGGAATGGGGTAAGGGCATGGAATAACCTAGGTCATTGATCATAGTTGTGAAAATGAGGAAATGGGTATGAAATTTGGCCTAGACCAATTCCTAATTATGTTGGCATAAGAAATTACTTGTGTGATTTCCTTGGAATTTGATATTTTGGGCATGTTATATGTCATATATTATGCTTTGTGAATGAGGTGAAAACTCTTGTGTGATAATATGAATTGTTGCCGTAAAAGTGTTTGCCAAAATGTCTATGTGTGAATCAAGTTGTTATGACATAGTGATGTATAACATGCTTAAAAAATATGTTAAAAATAAATGTTAATATGTGCTCATTGAGATATTGACATTTTATTGATTTATGAAATTTATATGCTTATAATATGAATTTTCATGACACATGTTGAGATGTGTGGTTTAATTTGTCTATATGACATCCATTATATATGAGACATGATATGTGTTTAATTTGGTTCTCGGCATTCATTATATCGTACATGCACGAGAACACATCGCATTTAATGGGTGTGAGTGCATGGTTGATATAAAATACCAAGTAGGTGGATGATAAGTGGGCTCAGTACCATTGGACCAAGGTCTGACAGAGTCGCACGGTTGCATGACATGAAAAACTTGTATCGGGTATAGCAAAAAGGGTTAAACACGTCCTCGGATGCAAGGCCTAGCTACTGATTTTATACACTTCCTACGGTGCAAGGCCAAAAAAGTGTATCGATTTGTGGAGCCGATGGTGAGACACCAAAAGTCCGCTATCCAAACAAAGACACATGATTTTATTATATAATGATTTCATTTGATGGGAAACATCCATGAATTAAGTGGTTTTATGAATATATAGTGGGTGTTTAAAAAATGATCATTGGATGCATTTCATAAATGATAAAAGTTTTACACTTGTATTGCATAGTGTGGTGAGAGCCGGTGAAGGCTTGGGTTGATGTGCGTGAGTGAGTTTCATCTCATTTCATAGCATGACATTATAGATTCCAATATGAATTGAATATTCTTGCATTAGAATGGATGGTTGAGTGTTGTTGCATGTATACATTCATATGCACTTAGGTGGGGAGTAGCTCTTGTAGGAAGTATTCTACTGGGCGTTGACTCACTCTATACGAAAAATATTTCAGGTACGGGGCATATTTCGGTGGATGACATACATTCGGGGCCTCTAAAGTGAAGGAAAGCTGAGTTGTGGCTCTTGAACCAAGTTTTATGTAAAACTTTTGGTTTAATTCTATTTTGGCATGTAAATTGTATGGAATAGGTTGTAATAGACTTGTATGAATCATGTATAATGTAGAAAATATCTTTATACATGTTTGAGATGAATTTGGAAAGGTTTTGATTGGATTGGAACTGAAAAACTAATGAAAAAATGAAATTCTGGACAAAACCTATCGGTAGCAAGCAACAACTACCGATAGCTAATAGGTAGTACCTGTCCAGTAGGCAACAACTACCGGTAACTTACAGGTAGAACTTCTACCGGTAGTTATACAAACACCTACCGGAATAGGGGTGTCAATCGTGTGGATTAAACGGTTACATGTCGGGTTAAACGGGTGACGGGTGAAAAACATATAAACCTATACACGACACGTTTAATAAATGAGTAAAAAATTTCAACACAAACACGACCCATTTAATAAACGGGTAACACGACACAACTCGTTTAACCCGTTTAATTTTAAAAAAATTATTTCAACAAATTTTAATACTCCATTTTTTTTACTACTAATTGCACTTACCTAAAAAAAAAGAATTTTAATTCAAATCTTATAAAAATAAGACTTGAAGGCTTTAAAAAAAGAAGCAATAGGCTATTGCCTTTTATAGACAACTCACCCTCCTCATTTCCCCTCATTTTTCAATGTGGGACAAAAACAAAAGACATTGGTTTGCCTTTGTCTTTGAAGTGCTCTACAACTCCTCTCATTTGTCTTTGAAAAAGAAGAGTTGAAGGCTTTAAAAATAAAAGCAAGAGGTCATTGTCTTTTATAGGCAACTCAACCCTCCCCATCTCCCCTCATTTTCTAATGTGGGACAAAAACAAATGACATTTGTTTGCCTTTACCTTTGAAGTGTTCTCCAACTCTTCTCCTTTGTCTTTGAACTACTACTTTACTTTTTTTTTTAATTGATTTCTTTACTTCTTTTTTCTTGCTAATTTTTTAAAATAATTATTAATTTATTATTTTATTAATTTTATTTAAACGGGTAAATGTGTAATAAACGGTTTGACAGGTCTCACCCGAACACGACCCGTTTATTAAACGTGTTTGGCATGTCAACATGTTTATCACCTAAACCCGTTAAGATCTCACCCAAACCCATTTAATTTGTGTCGATTCGTGTCGGTTAATCATGTCGTGTCGAATTTTAACAGCCCTATACCGGTATCTCTTCCAAAAATTTGAAAATTTAAGAATGCATTGTCATGCTTTTGGGTCATGTATTATTTGGTTCCAATGACACAAATGGACCTTAAATGAGATACATTGGGGTATGTTGAACCTCAATGGAATCAAATGAATTAAAGAAAATACGGATCCTCGTGTGAGTTATAATCCCGGTTATAGGGATGTGATAAACGTGATGTCAAGTTGTGCGACAATCACGGGTATTTTCGCAGGTTGATGGATGGTCAACTGGACTCCTGATTTTAGGGGCGTCACAACTTGGTATCAGAGCATAGGTATACGAAATACCTAGAGCTTGGTGGGCATTGGGTTTAGACCATTGCATGCATTGTACATTTCATCTTATATGCTTACATTGTGTTACATGATTACGTGATATGTGATTATGTGAATGATATACATG